GGGCCTTTCCATCTATTCAATTTCTATAAAACAATTTCCTTTATCTTTGTCTTGGGCTCTGGAAACAGAAGTTAAAGATCTTGACATATTGCTTGCAGGAATAACTATATTTGCCTCATACTTTAATTCTTATGCTGCTATAGCAGGTTCATGTATCTTTCTAGGATATCTAATTGTACTGACATCTGAACTATATTATATTATCATATTCCCAAATACCCATGCTTCTCTACCTTAAGGAGGATGAATAGAAATAACCATGGCTTCCTTGAAAATATCATTTATTAAAATGATTTAACTGCTAAGTATTTTAATGAGCTGTTACTAAAAAAAATGTTCCTTCATTTCTGAGCTCTTTCTGAATAAGCTCATTTGCCAAGAGAAATGTCACCAACAGGGCTGCACAAGGGTGGTTTTACAAACATCCATCTTTTCCCCCCTACTTTCTAAAGACTACAGAATTTGTGCAGAGACCGTGGAGTTGGAAGGTACACTGATGTTCCCTTAATTAATGTTTCTGTCCTCAGTTAAATGCACATATTAATTGTTGTCATTTTAGAGGAATAGGACCTTTTCCCTCATAGTATTTCTTTTCATATCTTTTGTCTTTTGTTCCAGGCTTCCTGTTCCAAAGCAATTCATTTAGAAGTACAGCATCTTTTAGTGTGAAAAAGTGTGTGATATTCTGTGCCCTGATGGATTTTACTGCCTCTGCTTGCCAACACAATATTCATAATTAGAGAAATAATGACCTCTTTCAGGATACTGCTTCAAAAGTCTCACTTACACAACCCAAGAATAGTCTGTTTTTCTCCCAGTGGGCATTAGATATTCACCTTGAAATTACCCACCCTGTAACAATCATCTCATTGCTGAATGTCTAGCACCGTGAAAGGTCCTTCTTCTCAGTATCATCTGTACCTGGGACAATCACTGACACGTAGGATGTACTTAACAATTGAATGAATTAGATGGATGCAGCCAGGTACCAGCTCTGAGAAAAGACTATCTCATTCTATTTACCCAACTAGAAAATTAGAGGCCAGTTGTCATTAACATGAGTGTGATCAATGTTGAATTCATAAGTAAAACTTACTTAACCCGATTGTTATTTAAGATGTCAAATATTTAAAAAGTCTTGAAAAAACTCATTTTCTTTTTATTTTATATTTACACTTCTACTGTATATTTTATTTTATAAATGAGGTTTGACTCTAGTAACTGGATTTTATAAAATATGAACTCTAATCCTTGCCATAGAAACATTCTATTTAGAACATAATTTTATTTATTTATTTTTTGATATAGTATTGTTTATTTATTTTTATTTTTTAGGACATAATTTTAAACATAAGCCATACCTAGATACAAATACATATTTAAGATGCAGTTTGATATACTACCTGTAAAGTGTCTTTTCCAAAGCGTACAATTCTTATGAAGCACATATCTTCCAGTTTTATCTATCTTGCTTAGCATACCCCAAAAGTACTTTATGTGGCTTTTAAAAAATATATTAATTTTACCAGTGCAGCCTGCCTTGACAGCCTATCTCTATTGATTGGAATTCCAAATGAAAGTGGAGGAACAGATTTGATGTAAATTCATTAAGATAAAAGAACATTAAAAAATGTTTATCATATTATGCCAAAATATGGAAGCACTGTAAACTTAACATGTGGTTAACTATTACTTCAGCCTGGCCCTGTTTTTTTGTGGTTTAAGGAGATTATTTTTAGGTGGTGACTCAAAGCATAGCATTGTTTTTAGACACGTAAACTTCTTCCACTTTCCACTCGCAAGTATCCAAATTCAGGTGTGCAAAGCAAAGTCAAGCCTTGCAGTCAACACAAAGGAGTCCCACCTTCCCTTGTTTTTCATAATTACTTGTACTTTTGTACCTATGTATTCTAGAAATGCAACTATGAAGCCTGCAAGCTGTAGTTGTACTCATGTATTCAAAAAAGATTTCAAACTTTTACTTTCGGGAATAAAACTAAAAAGATAAAATACAGGGATTTTTCTCAGTGCAGTGGGACAAAATAAAATTATCCTCTCCTAAAATAAATGGTGGTTAAGGAAAGCAATTTTTCCTGTCATGAATAAAAGCTAAGGAACACACAATCAGCATCTGAAATATGTTAACTCCTAGTGTTTTAAATAAAAAGACTCTGAAGAGCATTACATATTACCTGTTCCCAAGGATGATTGCAGTACCTTGTAATTAAGTCCTGCAAAATACATAATGTACTTAGCAGATAATTATGAAAAGTGGTGATTAAAAATAGACATTAAGTCAAATTTTAAAGTTTTTGGTGGGGGGCTCTTTCTTGTTTTATTTAATCAGCTCAGCCTCTTACGTAATTGTTCTCCAGCTCAGTTTATTCTCAAGGCCATGTAAAAGAACACCTCCTGCAGTTTTATCTCATTTATCTGTAAAGTTATAGTGGGCAAAACATGGATGAGGGATCAAAAGTTTCTTCCTAACCCCCTCACTGCAACTTTATAGCTTTGTATCCAGAACAAATCACTTAATTTTTCCCAGCTTCTGTTTCTCTATTTGTAAAACTTAGTTTCAAATACCAGCTTTATCTAAATCTCTGTGCTAGAGATGAAAGGAGTCAAAAAAGGCTTAATATACTATAAAGTGTTTTCACAAGTTTTAGGTAGTTTCTGTTATAATTCCCATTTTGTAGGGCAGGAAAGACTGAGAGAGAAAACAAACTTCTTCAGAGCACACAGCTAATAAATAAGAGATTTAATTCTAAAGTCCTATGTTTATAATGTCAGCATTTTTCAACATTGTCACAACAGACACATGGGGGCTAATTCTTTCTTTGAGGGGACTGTCTGTACTTTATAGAAGGTTTAGCATCATCCAGGCCTCAACTTCTTAGTTACCAGTAGCATTTCCCAAGTAGTGACAACAAAAAGTTCCTCCAAACACTGCCAGGTGTCCCTGGAGGGCAAAATTGCTCTACATTGAGAGCCACTGGTTTGTGTGAATCCAGAGCTGAATTTCTTAACCACTTTTATTATGACATTCTTCAGAATTGATATTCTGAATGGATCTTGGTTGGAATGCTCTATGACAGAGCAATTTTCAGAATAAAGACATAACTGATTTTCATCTGTCACTTCCTGTTTCTGAATATTAACAGTAGCATTGTCCTCTTTGGAAGGAACCTGTAACTGTTCTCATAGAAGCAGAATATCACCTGCAGAGATGCTCTCCACATTGCGCCAAAAGTTAGTCTCAAAAACCCCTAGACCCCTTCCCTGTAACCTGTGGTCACTCGCTGATGGCCCCACTGGTCTTTTGGAGCAGCCTGAAGGATAGACCTCGTAAGATGTTCACAAAAGACATGTCATTTCATGGACATGTGGATTATTTTGATCTAAGGTCAGTTGAGGTCCTGCATGCTCACAACAATCTTTTACCAGTCCCTTAATTACCTAAAGGAATGGAGATTGGGGGAATATAATACCCAGAACAAGGATTTTTATCACAAATAAATTTTATTTCAGAAAAACCTATCTATATAGCGGGGTAAATATTTAATTATGGAGGACCTTGTCTTTGTCACTTGAGCCACTCTCTCTTTGGTATGTGAGCCCACCTCCTCTCCTTAAATCCCTGACCCCTATTCCCTTCCCTAGCTCAGGGCATATACAGTTATTTTGCCCCCATTTACTTTAGAATCTACATATATGTAGGTTCCCCATACCTTTGTAATTAAATTTGTTCTTTCCCCCTACTGTTCTGTCTAATGTTAATGTGGCTGTTCCACAAGTCTGAAAAGAATCCTGCAAGCCCCTTCTTGGACTCCTGATATCTGTTATCAGATACAGGACAAGGGGGAGAAATACAAGTGTTTTCATAACCATCGTTTCATTTATTTTTCATAATAAGCCCTTGAGGTTTATGTTGGTATCTGTTTATATTTTGCTTAGGAATCTTAACCTTTCTGCTTGGCCTGCTCCTTCAACATTGGTGTTCTCATTGCCAAACTTGATGTAGAAACTCAGCAGGAAGTTGATGTGGAAACTCAGCAGGAGCCTTTCTTACCAGCACCTTATGAAGAGTAACATCCTTCTGAATTACTCAACATTAAGCAGATGCTTTCTGCCCTGCATGACTTTTCCTTTTTCCTTGCCCCTTAAAAGGGATCGTTAAATATATGCCTCCTTTGACTACACTTAGAGACGTGAGAACCAATTGTCCTAGAGTAGAATGTTTTTCTTCTGTTACTCACTTTTTACCACCCCCAAAAGACCTAGGATGAACTCTTCAGCCACCCCCATGTCCTATCTTTACCTCTTTTTTGCATTCTGCTCTATTCCTGATATTGGCACAGGCCAAATTAGTCACCTCCAAAGTAAAATTTATCAACATTTATGATTGTCTTTATTATATTTGTTTCCCTGTTATTTAAACTATTGAGATACTAGATTCATTTGATCTGAGTTTATAGACTGAAAACTATTTTGAGTATAGATATATATGAATTAAATGTTTTTAAACACTAAGTTTTAAGGTTAATTGCCACCAAGTACAATAAATATAATTGAATGTGATTTAAAAACTTTGGCACAACTTGAAAGAGAGGCTGGTGTAATTAACTATATAATAAGTAGTGAGGATCTAGAATTGCCCAGGAATCCCCAGGACTCAGAATTCTGCTCATGGAAGGTCCAAAATAACCACTTGAACCAATGGAAAAGAGGATTGGATTATTTCCTGGTGATACAGCTTTTATGTCAAAACTTTTAATTTCTTTAAAGTACATGTGAAACATTTTTGACTATATGGTTCATTAAAAAAGACTAATTGGTGCCTGCTGTAAAATGGCATGCCTGGCCTGACCAAGAGTCATTTTTCTTTTTAGATCAGTGTGCATTCTTATTGACCAGACTTCCCTGATTCTGACTGGATATGCACTCAACTGTTTCTTCATGTTATATAAGTAAAACATTGTGGGCTTTTGGTTTTTTCCTAGGTGGCCTTTTTGAAGATGTAACTATTGGAGCCAGGCATTCCTCACCCTGGATGACAGCTTTCCCCAGCATGGAGTGCACTGGAGGCCAGCAGTCAGCTCAGTGGGCAGCGATACAAAGATGTGATCCAGAGCTCCAGGTTGAGAGTGTTGCCTTGAAGTTCTGAGTTTACCTGTTTGCATGTGTTCCTAAGGAAAGAGTTAACTTGAAATCTTTTCAAAGCCAAGGCTATGAGAAAGTCATCATAGCAGGTTGTTGGCTCATTGAGATAAGTATAGAACTTACATCTCTGTTTCCTGCAGCGGGGAATATTCAAATACGTGCTGTGTCAGCACCACCTGGAAGGATTCCAGCTGCTGGAGCCCCATCTGTCCTTTACAGAACTCTGTGTGGGACTTTGTTGGTAGAACTGAATGTTAACAGCTGTAAATCCTAGGGAATAAATGTTTAAAGGACTTCTCATTTTTATTTGCAACAAATAAAAAGAAAAAATACAGCATTTTGTACACCCTAGTAGGAGAAGAGGCTCAGTAATAAAATGTGCGTTAAGTGAATAATTATCAAATTAAAGGTTTCCCCATTTCTGCAGACCTTCATGTGCTCCCTTTTTTTCTGTATTTCCTTTCCCGAATATTATTGCAAATCCAATATCCCTCACTGGCATCCTGTTTCAGACTTATCTTAACCCATGTGAGCCAGACCAGGTGGTGAGGAAAGCATTGGCTGAGAGTGGCGGAACGAGAGGGAACCATGTAAAATGCAGACCAGCTCTGCTTTTACAGAGGTTTGCACCTTGTAATCACATCATGGGATCAAAGCTGGGGTGGGAGCCAGGTACACCTCCCTTTCCCATGCCACGCTGAGGAAAGTATTGGATTTGTAGTTACTCCTGCTGCTTGTCAAACCTACTGGCATTAATTCTAGTCTACAAACTGCCTAATAGCTCTTTCCTCAAAAATCTGAGTTTTTTCTGTCCTCTAATTGCCTAACACTGAACACTGGTGTCAGTTGGCATCATGATTTGGTGGAACTTTAGTGATTTCGTCTTCCCGATAGTTTGACCAAAACTAGTGCCTCCTGCAAAGACTCTTAATTCTGTCAGTGGTGGACTGACATAGGAATCAAACCCATCTGTTTGATCCTACGGAGTCATTTTATTAAGCACAGTTTGAAATGTTGATGTTCTTAGTTAAAAGTCCAAGACACAGCCACTGAAAAGTCCAAGACACAGCCACTGAGGAGAATTACTTTGGCTTCACTTCAGTTACTAAGTTTCCAAACACCATGCTGACTTTTCAATGCTTAGGATTCTGTCTCTGTAAAGCAGGGCTTCTTAGTCTTGGCCCTATTTACATTTTGGTCTGGGTAATTTTTTGGTTTTTCTGTTTGTTTCTGAGTCATTCTTTGTTGTGGGAGTATGTCCTGTGCTTTCAGGAGAGAGATCTTTCTCTCCGTAGCCTCTTTATTTCAATCAAATAAATCAAATTGATAACAGATTGATTAACAGAAAAAAAGCTCTGCATTTACATACATGAGACTTAGAGGTGGACAGATGATTGAGGTTTATATACTACCCAGCCTTCCCTTGGGGCTTTGGGCTTCTGGGTTGGGAAGGCCATTAAAGGAAGGGTGGGAAGGAAAAGTAAGGTGTGAGTGTTATTTGTCATGCAGATAAGAAGTTCTCAGGTATTAAGAGTTATCTCTTGGACTAGCTCTCCTCCTGGTGTGGAGGCATCTTTGCAAATGTAAATTTCCTTTGCAAACTGATAATTTTTACTTTATTTTTAGGCAGTTAAGGGGGTGGTGAAGAGTTTCTCCTGCTTTTGCTGGTTCTCAATTGTTTAACTCAAAATTGTTTTACTCCTTTTGCCAAAGTGACATATTTTGGGTGAAATTTCTGGCCCCTTGAGCACATTGAAGCATGTTTAGCAGCATCCAAGGCCTCTGCCCACCCAGATGCCAGTAGCACCCTCCCTTAGTTGTTAAAACCAAAATGTCTACAGATGTTGCCAGTTGGTAGAAATAGACACCAGCTTTGGATTAAGAAAGGCGATTAAGTGACCTCTCTACTTGGTGAAGATGTAGATGTTCCCAAGATTCTCAGACCTGGTCTGCTCAGGAGGTTCCTCTCTGGCTCACAGAGTATTTTTGTTACTAACCTAACCGGTCATATTCAGCAAGATGAAGTCATCCCTCCTTGTCATGTGAAGTCTTCCCCTTCCCTTCTCCTTGGGCCTCAACTCAGTACTTATGCATTTTACTCCCTAACCAATGGTGGGGAGTATACTCATTGTAGTTCCTCCTGCAGTTGGTAAATTGTTTATTTTTCCCTTTGCTTCTTTTGTTCAGTTCTTTTGTTGCCAGGAAATACCAGATTCATTTCTGCCTGCCACAATTTGTTAAATCAAAAGACCAAGGACAGGAATTAAGTCTTTAATATGCATTCTTATTAGATCAGCAAGCTAATCTGAGAACCACCCCCACCCCACCTCTCATCCCCAACATCATGCTCCAAAGAAAATGCTTCTAACACTTCATCTCTAGCTGGCCATTTTATTGTGAGTTAAACAAAGACAGTTAATTATTAGTGAATGGGTCTTCCCTCCAGGCGGTAACAACTTCTGGCATTTTTATGGTGCCCCATGTTCCCCCTCCACTGGCATCTTGGGTTTAGAGCAGTTCCCTCCTGGGTTGTCTCAGTTTCTCACAGGAATGCCCATCACTCTTTTAGGCGCCTCCTGGATTGGGAAGTTAACTCAGAGCAAGCAAGTCACAGGTCAAACAATGTGTGTATATGCATGGAGCCTTCTCATCCTCACACTTCCCCCTTTCATTTTTGTTCAATTGCATAGCCCAAGAAAAACCTAAAGGATGAAGGATTTTCCTAACAATTTTCAGTGACACAATATTACAAAACCTGGGTCTTTATGGCATGGGACCTCACCATAGTAAGCTCCTGTTTTCACAGATTCCTTCCTGAAAAACACCTTTGTGTGTGAATATTTCTTAAGAGTTCAGTTGGGGGTTGGAATAAATTAGTTGAAACAGTTCAACCAATACATAAAATAGAGTTTTCTTCTTGATAGTTTTTCTCTCTCTAGAAAAGAAAGGTGTTACCATGCTGATGGCTTAGGTAATAAAGGTGTATATAATTCAAAAGATAATTCTACTACTACTCAGCAAAGTCTAGCTGGAACAATAGTCTAGTTTCCTAAGTGTGTGTCTCTAAGTAAAAGTGAGTCAAATGTAGTTACGTGAGATTGCTGTGTGTTTCATCGCTTGAGCAGGTGGAACTAGGGTGGAGCGGAGCATCAAGGTAGAGTTTCAAAGACTGAGCTGGTAGGTGAGAAGGGGTCTCCCACCTCTGGTTCTGCTACAGAGGATCCCTATAGAAAGGGAAGTTTCCATCTTCTCTGCCCACCTAAGGAAGAGTGCAGCTGACTGGCAAGGAGAAACCAAGAAGATTTGGAAGAGGCTTGGAGGAGACACGTGGAGTCAAGACATATATAGACACTTGGAATTGATATGAAAGACCTGGTGAGAGGACAACTTTGATAGCCTTTCACTTGGTTTGTACGTTACTATTTATTTCCCCTCCTTTCATTCCAGACTTACCTGGCCCCTTTTGCCCCTTTCTTAAGATTTCCTGCCAGAAGTTGCCTTAGACTTGTGGCAAGTTTTCAGGCCTCAGCAGGCCAGCTTTGCACCACCCCTATCGGCTGGGCATTTATTCACAAGGGAATGGTGGTTTATTGGGAAACTATTGTCTTTTCTTCTCTCTGTATGCACATTACCCTATTAAAGTTCTTTCGCACTAAAAGGATGCTTTATCTTTATAAAGCAGATGGCAGAACTCATTTAGAGCATGCAATTTTGGGGGATCCTGAGTGCACCACTAACATTCCCACTTTGGCTCTCTGCTGCTTCTGGGGGAGGAGAGGGGTGGAGAGGGCTCAGGTCCCATGTATGCCCCTTCAACTAGTCCCTCTTTTCATGACCTCAGTAGTTTGGCAGGGTGCACTATCTTGACCTCCTGGTGGGTTCAGCTTGAGCAGTACATTTTGAACTTCGGTTCTCTTTTCCTCTCCCAGCTCTTTGGGCCTTTTTGGTTGTGTTTCCTGCTGGATGGTTGAATTTTCCTGTCTGCTCTGCTCTTAAGCCTTGGTCCTGTACTTTGGGGCTACCTGTTTGGCTGAAAGTTGCCCATGAGGAGGTGGTTGAAGTCAGAATTTGACCCAGAGTCTATATTTTGAAATCCTTCACTCCCCTGTTCCTCTTCTTCCTCTCTCTATTATTCCCTTTGGATCTCTTGCCAATCAAAAATCTTGAGAATTTGATGATTATTTTTCTTTTATGCACAGGAGTGGGCACAAACCCTTACAATGGGCAACATGAGTCTCTGGATATCCCCTCATTTTCCCCAGTAACAGTTTGACCCCCTTCACTTCTGTGGGTACCTAGGGGGTACCCACATTCAAGCCAATGAAGCTAACTTCACTCTTTTTTGCTTGCATGGGCACAGAGGGGCAAAGGTTAAACACACAAATTACTAGCTATTCTGCAACTTAAAATCTTGATCTGGTGAGCTACTCAATCTTAACAGATCTCCATTTGTTTTTCCAGGGACAGGAAGAGAGGCTCAAGCACAGCTGAATCAGTACCAAAAGTGAGTTTTTAACATCTGGTTACAGGGTAAATATGAAGAGTAACATGTCTGAACCAGCAGGTGTCTACTTTTGGCAGAAAGAAAGAAAATGGCAGCCTTTCTATTTCTTTTGTGTAAATAGAGTGGCTTTTTTCCTTACCAATCTCTCTTCTCTGTTTCTCTATCTGTTTTTCTCTCTGAGAGAGGCAAAGAGGCAGAGATATCCATTATTAAAGAGATTCAAATTTAGTTAAATCACATTAGACTAGAGTAAATCAAAACAAGCTATATAATCATAAAGTTGGCCCTTGGAATTTGTACAACATTCATTTATCTTGTAAATACAACCTAGAATGTATTCAGTAGCATTCCTTGATAGTACTACCACAGAATTTTGATAAACTACTAAGAGTTTACCTATCAACAAGATGATAGAAAAATAACAAATTTTCAGTCCATTTTTTATATATCTATAAATTTGAATCATATAAGTAACTATTAAGTTATTATTAAGTCACATATTACTTAACTAAGTCATTCTTTGAGATTATCCTCACCTGTATTCATAGTGTATAGACCATATTGAAAATTTCTATTGACCAATCATTTTCATATTCTGACCTCTAATATCTTCTACATGCCAGACATAGGCATGGGTACTATAGATAAAACCAATCAAAGTCCCTGGGCTCAACAAGCTTACATTTTCATGGAGGTAGACAAAAAGCATTTTATTTTATTATAAAAATACTGTTATAAATGTAGTGTATTTTTGAAAGAGAGTAGGAGATAATGCAAGCTGAGACAGGGAGGATGAAGAAAAGGAGACTAATTTAAACAGGAAATTGAAACAGAGGGTAAAGGGTGTGTTTATCTGGTACCCTATATGGTCAAACCATTTGCATTCCATCAAGAATGACTATTAATGCACATTACGGAGGGTGAGCTGATTGAGTAAAAAAGCACAATCATATTTTGCCAAAAGTAATTGAACAGAGATACCCCAATATTAGCAACATCTGTTTGTTCCATTTAGTACAGTAAATCCAACTAGAATCAAACCAGATGTAACTGGTTTTGCACTAACTGCTCTGATAATGAAGGCCTATCCATAGCCCCTGTTGTAAAA